CCTGCGCGCTATCCACCAGGCGTACGAGGCCCCTATTTCCTGTCATTCTCCTGGGGCTCCTCTGAGCCTCCTGGTTTAGTGGTTTAGTGGTCATTTTCCTAGATTTCTCTCTTAGGCTCCTGGACCCGGATTCACGAAGCAGTTACGCGAGAACTTACGAACGTGTACATCTTTCCTCAATCTTTGACGGCTTTGGTTACATTTATTAATAAGTTTACAAGCATGAAAACGTCCCAATTAATTGTTGTTAGTGTTATAAACAGCTTCCTGGTGCTTTGGAGCTCATTAACTGTTTAATAATTGTAAACAAAGCCGCCAAAGATTGAGAACAGATGTACAGGTTCCTAAGTGCTTGCTTGCGTAACTGCTTCGTGAATCTGGTCCCTGGGTTCCTTTCATTGTTCCTAGGTGCTCTTCATTCCTCTTAGGTTCCTATAACTCCTCCTGGGCTTCTCTGAGCCTCTGAATGGCTCTTATTCTCTCCCTGTGTCCTCAGCCGTATTTGTCTTATCACAATTGTGTATCTTCCTCAGCCATTAATCCCCCCCCAACCCTTTGTCTCAGGCACGACCCCCCCCCCCACCCCCCACACCAGCTTTTGGGCTCGATCTTATATTCTGATTGCTTTAATTGTCTCTTCGGAGGCTGACGGTGACAGGAATACACAGATACGAGAATTCTTCTCGTGTGTGTGTGTGCAACAGGGAGCCGGTCGGCTTAGCGGATAGCACGCTGGACTTATGATCCTGTGGTCCTGAGTTCGATCCCGGGCGCCAGAGAGAAACAATGGGCAGAGTTTCTTTCACCCTATGCCCCTGTTACCTAGCAGTAAAATAGGTACCTGGGTGTTAGTCAGCTGTCACGGGCTGCTTCCTGGGGGTGGAGGCCTGGTCGAGGACCGGGCCGCGGGGACACTAAAAAACCCCGAAATCATCTCAAGATAACCTCAAGATAACTTCTCCTATAACTTATGACTGCATTGGTCTGATGCCCTGAAGAACACGCAACTGAAAAACTTGCCTTCTGTGTTCAGTTTGGGTGAGAAGTGATGGTGACCTAACATGCTTTCACAGTCAGAATCGTGAGATTATTAAGCTATTAAATGGGATCGAACATGCGAGCCCGGGGCGCTCAAGACGCATTACCTGCCTCATTATCTGATTAGAGATAAATGGTGTCATTGCGATTTAACTGTAAAAGCACCCAGTTCTTCCTTTTCCTTTGCCACGACGTTCAAAGTACGAATTTAAGTCCCCGCTCTCCCTTTTACTGTTGTATAGAAAATGGAGACCACAACGTACAAAAGGGGAGAGGCATTTGTTGAGACTATCGGTTATTTTCGTTATCTCTGGCTATCTTGGCTCTGAAATCTCCATCACTATGTAGTCTTCATGTAGTGAAACGGAGGATAGAATATGTTCAATAACTCTACGGTCTATGCTTTACCCAGAGTATGTATTACTCTGGCATATATATATATATATATATATTATATATATATATATATATATATATATATATATATAGTATATATATATATATATATATATATATAGATATATTTGCCAGAATTTTAACGATTTGCGAAAGTTGGTGCGAGATAAGTTTCTGATAACTTAATATAATCATTACTACAGATTATTGACAGTAATCAGTAGACAGGGGTGTCAGCAGAGGGGTCATTATAGAACGAGCAGAGGTAGGGGGAGGGGGAGTCTATAACCCCCCTATGTACCGGTGATGGTGAAAACAAATGGGCAGAGTTTCTTTCACCATGATTCCCCTTGTTACCTAGCAGTAAATAGGTACCTGGGAGTTAGATAGGTGTTACGGAGCTGCTTCCTGTGTGTGTGTGTGTGTGTGTGTGTGTGTGCAAAATACACCATACTCTCTGTATAGAGAGTATGGTGTATCGGTGTGTATACACAGAGAGTATATTCTAGTCCTGGACTATGTTCAGGTATACCGTATACTTTCTGGCAGATCAGTGAGGTATATTGTGTTGGTCTTAATAACCCTCCAGAGATTCACAGTCCCCTGACTGAACCAACCGGTAGGCATAATTAATGCCTTTAGTATCACCTGCTGATAATATCACCTTAATCACCTGAATTTAGTATCACCTGAATAATATCACCTGCTGATATTATTCACTGTGTATGATTCATTCGAGTAATTTAGTGTGATAGGAAGTCACGTGCTATGTGACGTGGCCATGGTGAAGGGAAAGGAATTATCAGGGGGGAAAGCGCCAAGTTATTACGACTATTTAGCAAGTTTGAAAGGGTCAGGACAAGGATTTGGGATGGGACGGGGGGAAGGAATGGTGCCCAACCACTTTGGGACGGTCGGGGGGATTGAACACCGACCTGCATGAAGCGAGACCGTCGCTCTACCGTCCAGGCCAAGTAGTCGGGGCAAAGACATCTAGAATACACACACACGTATCTGTGTCAACTTTGTGAAAGAGAAAACATGCATTACCTTGAACATTATATTGTAGAACATCCCATACTGACCGGCTTTGTCCCCCCCCCCCCCACAACCCCAACCCCTTGCTTGGGTTGAACTATGTAAATATTATCCCACATACTGAAACCACTTGTTGCCACACTGAAGCTGTACCCAAGACTGACTACGTAATGCTCCAGTGATGTAATATGAGCATATGTAATATGAGCATAACTTGTGCTTGCAAATGCTCAATCAGCTTCTATGGTTGAGCTCTCACTAACTCACTGCGATCTCTGTACCTAGGGCCAGATTCACGAAACAGTTACGCCAGCACTTACGAACCTTTACATCTTTTCTCAATCTTTGGCGGCTTTGTTTACAACTTTTAAACAGTTAATGAGCTCGGAAGCACCAGGAGGCTGTTTATAACAATAACAACAGCTGATTGGGAAGTTTTCATGTTTGTAAACGGTTTACTTAATGTAACCAAAGCCGTCAAACATTCAGGAAAGATGTACACGTTCGTAAGTGCTTGCGTAACTGCTTCGTGAATCTGGGTCCTAGTCTCTTCCCTTGTTCACACAGGAGACGAAAATATATATATATATATATATATATATATATATATATATATATATATATATATATATATATATATATATATATATATATATATATATATATATATATATGCGGAAAATCCACAGAGAAATATGAAATGAGGTGAACGTTTCGGCTTTGTTAAAGCCTTTGTCAACACCAGACTGACTAAGGCTTTAACAAAGCCGAAACGTTCACCTCATTTCATATTTCTCTGTGGATTTTCCGCATAAGATGATCAGTGTTTTGTGATCGTCAATTGCATATATATATATATATATATATATATATATATATATATATATATATATATATATATATATATATATATATATATATATATATATATATATATATATATTGCCTAACCTTTAGTACCTTCCCACTCTATAGCTATGTGTCCCCATGTTGGCTATATTAATGTGGACAATGACAACATAACTGAACATAGAAACAACATAAGCCTTCAGTTTGTGCTTTCCAGAAATAGCATGTGGGTGTGTGTGTGTATGAGCTCACATAGTAAGAATCAAGACAGTATTACGAAGTACAATAAGTAGCTAAGTCTCCCTTCTGGAGACATTATATGTCCCCCCCCCTTCTAGTGTGGTTATCGGAACATAGATGGCGTTGTCTGCGGCCATCCATCACGGCCCCGGTGACAGTTTTGCATCCTGAAGACTGATAGGGAGGGTGAGCCAGGAGGCGAGATATAGAGGGAGATAAATTTATATTAGAGAGAGAGAGAGAGAGAGAGAGAGAGAGAGAGAGAGAGAGAGAGAGAGAGAGAGAGAGAGAGAGAGAGAGAGAGAGAGAGAGAGAGAGAGAGAGAGAGGAGGAAGAGTGAGACAGACAAGGAATGACACAGAAGAGAGAGAGAGAGAGAGAGAGAGAGAGAGAGAGAGAGAGAGAGAGAGAGAGAGAGAGAGAGAGAGAGAGAGAGAGAGAGAGGAGACGAGAGAGAAGAGGGATGGGCGCTTTGTCGGGCCAGCCTTCCCATTGTTCCGGGTTGTGATATCGCCATAATCCCTCCGAGGCATGAATGGTACCCAACCCGGGATTACTGAGGGCAGCCGTGACGCTCTCTCTGATCACTGGAGCAATATTTGGGGTGAAAAGAAAATAATTTTGGCACTTTGGTGAAAAACTCAAATTATTTTGCAGCCAGACGACGATTTATTTTCGTTTTTTTGAAGCCTTGGAGAATCGTAATCCACCTGGGGAGCATATTAATCCACCTGGGGAGCATATTAATCCACCTGGGGAGCATATTAATCCACCTGTGGAGCATATTAATCCACCTGTGGAGCAAATTATTCCACCTGTGGAGCATATTAATCCACCTGTGGAGCATATTAATCCACCTGTGGAGCATATTAATCCACCTGGGGAGCATATTAATCCACCTGTGGAGCAAATTAATCCACCTGTGGAGCAAATTAATCCACCTGTGGAGCAAATTAATCCACCTGGGGAGCATAATAATCCACCTGGGAGCATATTAATTAACCTGTGGAGCATATTAATCCACCTGGGGAGCATATTAATCCACCTGGGGAGCATATTAATCCACCTGGGAAGCATATTAATCCACCTGTGGAGCATATTAATCCACCTGGGGAGCATATTAATCCACCTGGGGAGCATATTAATCCACCTGGGGAGCAAAATAATCCACCTGGGGAGCATAATAATCCACCTGGGGAGCATAATAATCCACCTGGGGAGCATAATAATCCACCTGGCGAGCATAATAATCCACCTGGGGAGCATAATAATCCACCTGGGGAGCATAATAACCCACCTGGGGAGCATAATAATCCACCTGGGGAGCATAATAATCCACCTGGGGAGCATAATAATCCACCTGGGGAGCATAATAATCCACCTGGGGAGCATAATAATCCACCTGGGGAGCATAATAATCCACCTGGGGAGCATAATAATCCTCCTGGGGAGCATAATAATCCACCTGGGGAGCATAATAATCCTCCTGGGGAGCATAATAATCCACCTGGGGAGCATAATAATCCACCTGGGGAGCATAATAATCCACCTTGGATTATGATAACCCTCCATGGATCATACTAGCCTGCTTGGGAGCAGGATAACCCAGCTGGGAGCATGATATCTTTCCTGGAATCACGATAACCTACCTGGAAGCATATTAGTCCTCCTGCAAGCAGATACGAACCGTCATGATCTTTTGTGGTCAAGGGCTGACCATAGTGTGGTCAAGGGCTGACCATAGTGTGGTCAAGATCTGACCATAGTGTGGTCAAGATCTGACCATAGTGTGGTCAAGGGCTGACTATAGTGTGGTCAAGATCTGACCATAGTGTGGTCAAGGGCTGACCATAGTGTGGTCAAGATCTGACCATAGTGTGGTCAAGATCTGACCATAGTGTGGTCAAGATCTGACCATAATGTGGTCAAGATCTGACCATAATGTGGTCAAGATCTGTCCATAATGTGGTCAAGATCTGACCATAATGTGGTCAAGATCTGACCATAATGTGGTCAAGATCTGACCATAGTGTGGTCAAGATCTGACCATAATTTGGTCAAGATCTGACCACAGTGTGGTCAAGGGCTGACCATAGTGTGGTCAAGATCAGACCATAGTGTGGTCAAGATCTGACCATAGTGTGGTCAAGGGCTGACCATAGTGTGGTCAAGATCTGACCATAGTGTGGTCAAGATCTGACCATAGTGTGGTCAAGGGCTGACCATAGTGTGGTCAAGATCTGACCATAGTGTGGTCAAGGACTGACCATAGTGTGGTCAAGGGCTGACCATAGTGTGGTCAAGATCTGACCATAGTGTGGTCAAGGGCTGACCATAGTGTGGTCAAGATCTGACCATAGTGTGGTCAAGGGCTGACCATAGTGTGGTCAAGATCTGACCATAGTGTGGTCAAGATCTGACCACAGTGTGGACAAGACCTGACCATAGTGTGGTCAAATCTGACCATAGTGTGGTCAAGATCTGACCATAGTGTAGAGAAGGGCTGACCTATTAACTGTCAAGGTCAAAATATTAAAAAGTTGATGCACTGGTGAGAAGCAAAGGATAAACAGATGTAAAATGAATAAAGATGGGATAAAAAAGTGTGACGATAAAGAGAGGGAAAATGAAGAATGAAAGATAAATGGTTAAGTGTGGATAGAATTCAGAATATAGAGTGAATAGCTAGATTGAATAGGGTGAAAGGGAGGGGGAAGGAGTGATAGGATGATGATGGCGGGAAGAGATAGTAAAGTAAAAACTACAGGATGATATATGAACGAGGATGAGTGTGTGTCTAGAGAAAGAGAAGATCGTCGTTTCGTGGATCCCTGTCCTCCCCGGCGGCCCGGTCTCTGACCAGGCCCCTCCTACACTGAACCTATTTTCAGGTGCTCTGTCACCCTCAAGAGGACACCAACACAATAGGGGGGCCCGCAGGCTGGAGTGGACACACACACAAGGGGACGGAACAGGAGACATTACCATCACAACGAGCTCTGGGTTCCTCTTCCGTAAGTCCTTAGTGATGCTTGTCAAGTGTGATCCAGGCCCCTTCCCAGCTGCCCCCAGCTGTTCCCAGCTGTTCCCCAGCTGTTCCCAGCTGTCCCCCAGCTGTCCCCAGCTGTCCCCCAGCTGTTCCCAGCTGTCCCCCAGCTGTTTCCAGCTGTTTCCAGCTGTCCCTGGCTGTTTCCAGCTGCCCCCAGCTGTTTCCAGCTACCCCCAGCTGTTTCCAGCTACCCCCAGCTGTTTCCAGCTGCCCCCAGCTGTTCCCAGCTGTTTCCAGCTGCCCCCAGCTGTTTCCAGCTGCCCCCAGCTGTTTCCAGCTACCCCCAGCTGTTTCCAGCTACCCCCAGCTGTTTCCAGCTGCCCCCAGCTGTTTCCAGCTGCCCCCAGCTGTTCCCAGCTGCCCCCAGCTGTTTCCAGCTGCCCCCAGCTGTTTCCAGCTGCCCCCAGCTGTTTCCAGCTGCCCCCAGCTGTTCCCAGCTGCCCCCAGCTGTTCCCAGCTGCCCCCAGCTGTTTCCAGCTGCCCCCAGCTGTTCCCAGCTGCCCCCAGCTGTCCCCAGCTGCCCCCAGCTGTTTCCAGCTGCCCCCAGCTGTTTCCAGCTACCCCCAGCTGTTCCCAGCTGCCCCCAGCTGTTTCCAGCTGCCCCCAGCTGTTCCCAGCTGCCCCCAGCTGTCCCCAGCTGCCCCCAGCTGTTTCCAGCTGCCCCCAGCTGTTTCCAGCTGCCCCCAGCTGTTTCCAGCTACCCCCAGCTGTTCCCAGCTGCCCCCAGCTGTTCCCAGCTGCCCCCAGCTGTTCCCAGCTGCCCCCAGCTGTTCCCAGCTGCCCTGGATACCAAACTGGAGAAGGACTAAGGCGAGTATGACATTCACTCGCATATAATATATATTATTATATATTATCCACAAGGATAATAAAAGAGGAGCAGAAATTATCCTTCAATACACTTACACATTCTTGGTTGACGAAGTATAATGAGGAGAATATTATATATATATATATTATAGAATTATAGAATTATACATATTATAGAATTATATATTATACATATTATAGAATTATACATATTATTAGAATATATAAACTTACATAAAGAGACAGATCTTAGCCAGTATTTACCTTTTAATTATTTAGATTAAAACAAAATAGCGACTAAGTAAATGTTTTCATTCATAAACAGTGGGTTTGGCGGCTGGATTAACGAGCCTTTGGACGTTGTTTATGAGGACGAGCTGAGCATGTGATCTTAGAAAATATTCAAACGCAAACAAACGCTTCCGTTAATATCCGAATGGGCGTTAAAGGTGTGGTAATGGCGAGGATAACACTGTATTGATTGTTAGGGTGGAGTGAGTGATTGCGATGGGGGGGGGGGGGGGAGAGGGCGTAAGGGCGGTAATTGCCTTGTTAACTACGAGGGAAACAAGGCCGCCTACCGAGCTCATCCACGCCCACACCCTCATTCACACGTGCCTGGATGTGTACATGTACACTACACACACACACACACACACACACACACACACACACACACACACACACACACACACTAGAAAGTGATGTGGTGGAGGCTGACTCCATACACAGTTTCAAAAGTAGATACGATAGAGCTCGAGGAGCTCAGGAACCTGTACACCAGTAGATTGACGGATATAAACATTCCTGTATCTTACCCTTCCAGCTTCGTAAACAATCTACCTAAACCATTCTGATGAGTTTGCTTCTATATACACCCTTCCAACACCACTCTCTCCAGAGTAAACTCATCAGCAGATATCTAGTTTACATCCACCAACCTTTTATGCCAAAACACCTTTTCCCCCATCTTGAGGTTATCTTGAGATGATTTCGGGGCTTTAGTGTCCCCGCGGCCCGGTCCTCGACAAGGCCTCCACCCCCAGGAAGCAGCTCTTGACAGCTGACTAACATTTATTTTATAACCCATTATGGGTTTACCTAGAGTCATGTGAGTATCCCCTCCACTCTAAGCCTCCTATTACACCATTGGCTCCACTCACCCATTTTCACCCATTAGTCCCACCTAGTATGTCCATTCAACTAAAGTAGTAAATATCATTTAGATTTCTAATGGATCATATATATATATTATTTTTGTATTCACCCTGTGTATAGAGGGAGATTAGCGTGTGAAAGATGGAACTAGGAAGTATTGAGAGATTTATGTCGGGAAGACATAAACCTAACCTAGGTAGACAGGGTGAACTACCTTACCTTAAAGTGGGAAGGAACCTATTCTTCCCTGTCCAACACCACGACAGTGAAAAGTAGACAGACAGCAGATAGTTTAAGCAACAATTTAAGACAGCGACGCGCAAGTAAGATATCTCTGGAACAGTGCAAGGAACAGAGACACCATGGAACAGTGCAAGGAACACAGACACCATGGAACAGTACAAGGAACACAGACACCATGGAACAGTGCAAGGAACACAGACACCATGGAACAGTGCAAGGAACACAGACACCATGGAACAGTACAAGGAACACAGACACCATGGAACAGTGCAAGGAACACAGAGACTCTGGAACAGTGCAAGGAACATAGACACCATGGAACAGTGCAAGGAACACAGACACCATGGAACAGTGCAAGGAACACAGACACCATGGAACAGTACAAGGAACACAGACACCATGGAACAGTGCAAGGAACACAGACACCATGGAACAGTACAAGGAACACAGACACCATGGAACAGTGCAAGGAACACAGACACCATGGAACAGTACAAGGAACACAGACACCATGGAACAGTACAAGGAACACAGACACCATGGAACAGTGCAAGGAACACAGACACCATGGAACAGTACAAGGAACACAGACACCATGGAACAGTACAAGGAACACAGACACCATGGAACAGTACAAGGAACACAGACACCATGGAACAGTGCAAGGAACACAGAGACTCTGGAACAGTGCAAGGAACATAGACACCATGGAACAGTGCAAGGAACACAGACACCATGGAACAGTGCAAGGAACACAGACACCATGGAACAGTGCAAGGAACACAGACACCATGGAACAGTACAAGGAACACAGACATCATGGAACAGTACAAGGAACACAGACATCATGGAACAGTACAAGGAACACAGACATCATGGAACAGTACAAGGAACACAGACACCATGGAACACTACACGGAACACAGACACCATGGAACAGTGCAAGGAACACAGACACCATGGAACAGTACAAGGAACACAGACACCATGGAACAGTGCAAGGAACACAGACACCATGGAACAGTACAAGGAACACAGACACCATGGAACAGTACAAGGAACACAGACACCATGGAACAGTGCAAGGAACACAGACACCATGGAACAGTACAAGGAACACAGACACCATGGAACAGTGCAAGGAACACAGAGACTCTGGAACAGTGCAAGGAACATAGACACCATGGAACAGTGCAAGGAACACAGACACCATGGAACAGTGCAAGGAACACAGAGACTCTGGAACAGTGCAAGGAACATAGACACCATGGAACAGTGCAAGGAACACAGACACCATGGAACAGTGCAAGGAACACAGACACCATGGAACAGTGCAAGGAACACAGACACCATGGAACAGTGCAAGGAACACAGAGACTCTGGAACAGTGCAAGGAACACAGACACCATGGAACAGTACAAGGAACACAGACA